GAGATGCAGCAGGTGACCTAGCACATCAGCAGCCCCCAGCACCTCAGGCCATCGGTCTAGGGAGAACAAAGCTGTCCAGGACACCTGAAAATTCAATGAGTGTACAGCCTGTCCCCCCATCTCCAGCCACCATGTGGCTTCAGTAGCTCGATTGGCAACAATCTTCTGCGGAATGATCACAGGATCACAGAATACCCCCACACCAAAGGTCTAGAGTAATTGGCATCTGCAAAGACTCAGGGTATGCCATCCAATGGCTATTCTTTGGTAAGCACATGGGCAGGAACAAACAGATCTGCATTTTATCAAACAGCAGCATGGAACCTCTTTCACCATCAGACTCCTTGACTCCAACCTCACAGCAGGAATGACCTTTATCTAGGGATAACCCTCAGGAAAATACATTACAAAGGGTGACTGAACCAAAAAAAGCAATGGGCAAAACTGCCCAAGGTATCTCTGTCTGTCCATGTCTCTCCTTTTCACCTAGGATGACAAAATAAACAGCTGTTGGACTTTGGGAGAAGACCCTCCCCTGAGAGTTTCATCAGCAGTGTTACTGGGAAAACGTGGTAAAAGACTTGAACCAAGTCTAGTTTGTTAAGTTAGTACTAGGAAGTGTTTTATCTTTACTTCTCTTGTAGCCATTTCTGAATTTAATGTCTTATACTTGTACTAACTCAAAACTTTCTTGTAGTTAAATAAACTTGTTTTATTCTTTAATTAAAATTAATCCAGTGTTGTGAGTTGTCTGGGAACGTCATTTAAAAGTAGCAGACTGTTGTACATTGATTCCTTAGAGATGCAATGGACTAAGGTTCCAGGAGAGGGTTGGACAGTGCAGAATACATGTTTTGGGGGGAAATCTGGGAATGGGTTGGGGTCATTCCACAACTGATAACCAAGACTGGTGGAAGCCAGAGTGTGACTGATGTGTGGCTGGCAGGATGCAGCTATACACAGACACTCAGGGTGTTATCTGCAAGGTTGGGAGCTACAGCAGCAAAGAATTGTGAGGTGCCCCAGTTTGCAGAGAAAGGGTGACACAGCCCCTCCTTGGTCTGGATTGCACCCTGGAATGCCATAAAGGGGAAGGGTCAGGAATGAGCTTGGGGTCCACAGCAGCCATACTGCTGAGGGCAGCACCATCAATCACAGGAATTAGAGGGACAGAGTCGGGGGCTCTTCCACAACACCAGTCGTGGGCATCACACTGGACCCAATGCCTGCAGCCTTGGTAGTAGGTGTTATGGTTACTGGGTTAGGACCCCTGAGCTCTGGCAGCACCCCCAGAGCTGGTGGAAAGGACAGAAGGATGGGGGGGAGCCTCAGCTGACAGCAGAGCAGCAGTAGTAGTAACCACTGCTGCAGAAGGAGCCTTCTGGGCAGGCTCTTCCCTTTTATTCTGTCATGGTCCTTGCTGACTGAGAGGGCTCCATTGGTGGTCCCAGTTTTGACAGTGGAGTCCCTGTCTGTGCTTTCCGCAGCCTTCCTGGTGGAGATGACGACACTGGAAAAGGTGTTGGTGGTAGACCTGGGGGGTAGATGGCGCAGAGAGCCAAAGTGGAGTGATGACAGTGGCCAGAGATTGCCCCGCAGCACCTCCCTTCCCTCCACAAACAAAGCTGCTGGAGCAGAAGCCTCACGCAGGGCTGTTTCCAGGTCCTCCATCAAGTTCGGGTGAGGGGAAAGAGCCACCAAAGGCGGGGAGGGGAAGAGGCTAACCACTCCTCCCCACTAGCCTGCATATGCGTAAGGAAGGCATAAATGCAAAGTTAATCAAACAAATGATAGGAAATAGGGAATACAGCAAACATTATGTGGGGAAAGATGATAGACTCCGGTTGCACTCGGAGTGAGAGAGCATATATAAGCAGAAAAGCACAGTGGATGGGGAAGGGAGAAACAAGCACAGGCATGCACAAATACACAGGAAAACTGGGCTAGGAAAGGCAATGAGCAACAAACAGCAGGAGAGAGGCGATCACAAGAGGCACCACACAAGATTTTCAGGAGCAGCGAACCAAAGGGTGGATGGGGGGGGGGACCCATGCGAGATAGACAGATGGGAGCACTGAACCACAAAGAGGCAGGGGACCCATGGAAGCAGCAAACTGCAAAGGGGGGGGACCCCACATGAGACAGACAGGCAGAAGCAGAGAGCTGCAAAGGGGACAGATCTCCCTGAGACAGACAGGTGGGAGCAGCAAGTCACAAGGTTGGGAAGGGGGACCCATGCAAAATGGATGAGAACAGCGAAACACAAAGGGGGGAGCGGAGGCTGGTAGTCAGGCAGAAGGAGGCTCACCAGCCCAGTGTAGGCTAACAGAAGAAAGGGGTGGAAAGTTCAAGGAGGAGCACATGTACCCACATGCATTTTGCAAGGAAGCAGGAAGTTATGCTGCTACAGCTCCAGGCAGCTGGAGGCATTGGTCGGTCAGCAAAAACAGTTGGGGAGTGGATGGGGTGGAGAGAGAGCTCCATACTACTTCCTCTCCCTCCCAGCAACAGCTAAGCAGAAGCCATGCAACACCACCACCACCAGTCTCCTCCTCTAGCGCCAGCAGGAACAGGGCATCCCACCCACAAGCCATAAGAAGGTAGAGAATAAGGCCAGAGGTTTAAGAAAGAAAAAGTGGTTAAAACATCTGCATCCACCCTAAATTGAAATCTGGCCTTGTCAGTGCCTCACAGTTCTATGTCATTCTGAGAAAGTCACTTAAGCCAAAAGCTTTTCCACAGGGGACATCATCTGATGATTGTTTAACTTGGGACATCTTGGGGCCTAATTCGCAGAAGGGCTGAGCACTCATATCTATCACTGAGGTACCTGTGAGCTGTATTTTGAACATATAAAATGCTATTAAAAAACCCCCTAAATACTATGAAAAAAATCAAGCCCAAGGCATGTCAGCTTGCGCACCCAAAAGTAAATACTTTATGATCTTAGCAAAGACTCCCATCTTTAAATTCGGAAAAAACACCTAGAGCTCCTTGAAAGTTTTTTGTCAAAATGCTTTTCTGACCAAAAAATGCCTTTTTTCAAAACCAAAATTTTCTTTGAGACAAATTTCAGTTTTGCCAACCTATTTCAATTTTCCGCTGGGAAAATAGAAATGATGGCTCCCTGCCTGAATTGCTGTTGTCAATTTCTCTTTCTTCCAGTGAAATGGACGCAAGATTTCCAGGAGGGCTAGCTCTGGGAGAGAGAGGGGCAGAACACCAGGGCACTCTGCCTTACCTTGCCTTCCTACCTCCTCTCCAGCTTTGGGACAGGAAAAGAAACCAGGTGGCCTGCCTCTCTTTCCCCAGGCCTAAGGAGGAGGTGAGGAGTCAAAGTACTTAAGTGCTCTGCCTCTTCAGCAGCTCAGTGGAAGGCTCTTGTCAATTTAACCAGGGAAATTGGCAACAGCCTGGGGGGAGAGGCAGCCAGAAAATTCTGGTTCCGCTCTCCCTAATCAAAATTTTGCTTTAAATCCCTTTCTGTGTAAACAGTTCACATTTTCAGCATTATTCAAATGCATTTTTTTTTTAAAAAAATGCAAGATTTTTCACAGAAAGGGATTCCCTTTTTCAGTCCAGCTTTAAAAACAACATCTTACCTGACAGGCATATTGTGAAGATTAGTTAACTAATGTTTGTGAAAACTCAGATGTTAGTGACGAATGCTTTAGGAAGAAAAGGCCATAAGGAAATTAATTTAGTGTAGAGTTTGAACAGCAGATCATTAATAAAGCCTGAAGCCACACACTGAATGACAAGGATAAAAAGTAATATTGAATAGCTATTCATTCAGAGAGCACCATCCATCTTATGACCTGAATGAGGCAGGGGTCCAGTGGAAAAAGACAGTAAGCAGTCATGTTATTAAAAGATGTATGCTCACAAGGCCACTGAATTAAAGTTGCATAGGCTATCTTAGTTCTGGCATTTACTTATTTCTGAATTCTTGACTTTCCATTTGAAAAACATACTTGCACCCAGGAGGATAAAGGAGGGATATATAATTTCTTAGGAAATTAAGAATATCTCCTTTCAAAATTCTGCTAGGAGCAACCAAACAAATTCATTACTTCCAATGATGATATTTTGTTACCATGTAGTTACAACAACAAAACAAAATCACTATTTTCATGATCTATTCACTTTCATGTCATAATGACCCACCTGCTGCATGGATAGCTCACAGCTTTTCAGTGAAACAAACACCATATCCTTAAATTAAAAAAAAAAAGGCTTACCCAAGAAAGAACTTGCAAACATTCAAAGTGTTGCCATACTCTATGGCTTATGAAAGGCAATTCTCCCACCTATCCTTCTCAAATCATACAATCCCTCCCAATCTAGAAAAAGGTCATTTTTAATTTGGAAACATTTGTTTCTTGTCATTGTTTTCTTCTCTCAAGATGTTTTTTGCATGCAAAAGAATACATACAGTATCCATGCACTCAGGGAAATTTATGAGCAATGTGGTAGGCAATAACATAGCCCCTCACGAATATGAAAACCAAACGATGATAAAACGTATTTATTTCACTGCGTTAAAACTTGCACCTCCAAGGCACGGCTGATAAACGTATAAAAAAAAATTTTACTTGCACACAACTCCTGTGAATATAAACTTGCACACACACACACACACACAAGACTTTTTGCCTAAGAAAAAATCTGGTGAATTATGTTTGCTTTCAAATTTCCCCCTTAGTCCTTTTATCGTGCAGTTCACGTAAACGAGATGTTTCTAGCAAGTCTTTCCTCCGGGGGCTCGCACTGGGGCCAGCGCAGTGCAGAGGATTTGCCGAGCAGCAGGGGCTTTGGTGAGCCAGGCGGGGTCCCGCGGGGAAGGCGGCAACGCTTTGGGCGGGCAGCATGTCAGCGGCTCAGCCGGGCCATGCGCCCTGTGACCCGGCGGGGCCCCGCAGGGCAGCAGCGGGGATCCCCGCCCCAGCGCGGCCAGACAGGCACAGGCACGCCGGCGGGCGGGAGAAGCGGGCACCCACCTTGGCTTTCTGCAGAGCGCTGGGACGCAGCTTGTGCACGAAGGGGCTCCGCGGCGGCGGCGGGGGCGGGCCGCGCTCTCTGCCGCCCGCCGCGCAGCATCCCCGGCCGCGGCTGCTCAGCCTCATCGCAGGGCAGGGCGCGCACGACGACCGGGCTGGTCCTGGCGGGGGCGCGGCAAAGCGGGGAGCGCGGCGGACGATGCTACGCAGCCCAGAACCCGGCGGCGGCGGCAGCAGGAGGATGCGCGACCCGGATCGGACCAACGCCGCCGCTCGCCTGCCCCGCCCTCCCGGGGACCCGCGCATGCGCCTGGACGGCAAGGAGGCTGCAGCGGAGCTCCTCTCTATGCGTGTGGGAGGCAGCTCGGGACACCCGCCGGGAATCGAGAGGAGGGACCCCCCCCCCCGCATCAGTTCCCCCGCAACTCTCGGACCCTGCCCCACGCCCCCAGCAGCCGCCCCCCGCAACACCCGGACCCAACTCGCATCATCCCCCGACCCAGCCCCCACCCCGCAGCACCCGGACTCAGCCCGCATCAGCCGCCCCCACACCCCGGAGCACCCGGACTCAGCCCGCATCAGCCCTCCCTCCCGCGACTCTCGGACCTATCACGCCCCGCCACATCACCTCCGCCCCGCAACTCCCCGACCCAGCCTGCACCAGCCTTCCCGCAACTCCTGGACCCACCCCCACCCTACATCAGCCTCCCCCCCAACTCCTCCAGAATCGCCCCCCAAATCGCTCCCAGGAAAAAACCCACAACCCCATTGGAACCAACTCCTGGGAAACAAAACCCAAACCCACCCCTGGAACAGTCCTCCATGACCCCAAAACAAAACCCTAACCCCCACTGGAAGACAGCCTCCCCCCAACAAAACTTTAGCCACACCCCTAATAGCGGCCAATGAGAAGCCCTACTTTGCCGCGGCTGATGGGGCTCTGTTCCTAATGGTACATAAGCTGCATCATGTCTTCTGCTGGCTGGCAAAGGTGGTTTTGATCGAGCTGTGCATGCATCTCAGTATCTGCTGATTTGAGAGGCCACCAGGTTGCTGCAATAAAATCATCCAAATTTCATAAAGAAATTTGTAGCCCAGAAAGTCAGCTATTGCAGATTCAAGATTTATTGTTGCTATAGCCTTTCAAAAGTGGCCCAATCTGCAAAAAATCACCAAGGTTGGTAATGTTGCCAGCTGGGGTCTATGGGATTGGCTTCCCCTTCTTAGGGGCTCAAATGCCTTCTGGGCTGTTTCTAAACTTTTGGCTCTACAGGTCAGATTGGGGGAAAGTGGCAATCTTCTCTCAAATGTCATCAATGGTAGCACTAAAATGAGACACCATTCACAGTAGATCGGGTCACAGCTGGCCTTACCATAAGTTGAACTGAGGCGGCCACCTCAGGTGCCAGACTGTGTGGGGGCACCTCTAGGACCCAGAGTGTAGAAAATTGTGTTTGCTGCTGGTGAATATGTATTCTCTCTACTCTAGATACACAGAGCTGGTGCAGTGCTGTGCTGGAGGAAGGAGGGTACAAGAGACGTAACAGGCAGGCAGGAGAAAAGGTGAGAGGGAATAAGAGAAAGCAGCAGGAGCTGCAGGAAGAGAGAGAGGAGGAGGAGTCTGTTATGTACCTCTCTAGCACCCCCAGGAGCCTGATTAACACCAGCTTCTCAGGGAGTAACCTACTTGAGGAGACCAGGAGGTCAACTGAAGTAGTAGGAGCCAATTAGGCCCTTAAGAAGCTATCTTCCCTCACTCAGGCCCTGCTACCAGCCTGCTTATTTGTCCCCTTCAGTTGAGTGTTGAGAGCCACTATAGCTGGCACAGAACACCAGTCATGAGTGAAAGAAGAAAACGCCCCGCGGAGGCAGCATTCAGAAAAAGAAAGCAAGCAAAGGAAGCTTTTCTATCTAAGCAGGAAGGAGCTCTCCTGAGATACAAATGTTCACGGTGAGCCTCTGGCCCCAGTGACGATGTGAGTGGTGAGGAGATGCCTGATCATCCAGTTAGTCAGAGTGCAGGTGCTGCAGCATCCATATCTCCATCTCAAATGGATGTAACCATACACATTCCTGAAGAAAAGTGTAGATCAGAGAAGAATGTGGTGGAGGCACGAGAAACAGCTGCTGCTGAGTTTAGTTCCTTAAGTCTAGATGATCCAGGACTGTGGACCCACTTGAGCAGTAGCCTGAGGGACTTCCTTGTACTGCGTGGGCCACAGCAAGTGAAAAACTTCATGTTCCCCAAAGACAATGAAAATAGAAGTTTCCATCCAACACATTACTGGCATGAAATCCCTAATGGTGACAAAGTGGAGAAGCCATGGCTTATGTACTCAAAAACCCAGAATGCTGCATACTGTTTTTGTTGCAAACTCTTCCAGTCTAATGTTCCAGCCACATTGGGTTCTACAGGAACAAAGCACTGGAAAAATCTGGCTAGAAATCTGGCATGTCATAAGAAGGTAGCAAATCACCAGAGAGCATTCCATAGCTGGAAAGAGCTTGAGATGAGACTAAGGTTAAAGGCCACTGTCAAGGTTCCTTCCCCACTCTGAACTCTAGGGTACAGATGTGGGGACCTGCATGAAACCCCCCTAAGCTTATTTTTACCAGCTTAGGTTAAAACTTCCCCAAGGTACAAACTATTTTCCTTTTTCCCTTGGACTTTATTGCTGCCACCACCAAGCGTCTAACATATATAACCAGGAAAGAGCCTGCTTGGAAACGTCTTTCCCCCCCAAAATCCTCCCCAAACCCTACACCCCCTTTCCTTGGGAAGCCTTGATAAAAACCCTCACCAATTTGCATAGGTGAACACAGACCCAAACCGTTGGATCTTAAGAACAATGAAAAAGCAATCAGGTTCTTAAAAAAAAGAATTTTAATTGAAGAAAAAAAGTAAAAGAATCACCTCTGTAAAATCAGGATGCTAAATACCTTACAGAGTAATCAGATTCAAAACACAGAGAATCCCTCTAGGCAAAACCTTAAGTTACAAAAAGACACAAAAACAGGAATATCCATTCCATTCAGCACAGCTTATTTTCTCAGCCATTTAAAGAAATCAGAATCTAACGCATATCTAGCTAGATTACTTACTAAGTTCTAAGACGCCATTCCTGTTCTGTTCCCGGCAAAAGCATCACACAGACAGAGAGAAACTTTGTTTCTCCTCCCCGGCTCCAGCTTTGAAAGTATCTTGTCTCCTCATTGGTCATTTTGGTCAGGTGCCTGTGAGGTTATCCTAGCTTCTTAACCCTTTACAGGTGAAAGGGTTTTTCCTATGGCCAGGAGGGATTTTAAAGGTGTTTACCCTTCCCTTTATATTTATGACATGCCCCACAAATCACAGATAGGGTGAAACGCTTTCTGTGATTTCTTCCTGGAGCTCTAGGAGAAAACAGAGTTAATAAGACATATGAACCTCTAAATATACTACCAAGTATATAAAGACTAACAATATTTTCCACATCTCAAGGACGATTTTAACAAGTTGATTCTGGGAAACTTTCATGGGAGAGTGCATCAGCCACTTTGTTAGAAGCTCCTGTGATGTGTTGGATGTCAAAATCAAAATCTTGGAGAGCTAAACTCCACCGAATAAGTTTTTTGTTATTTCCCATGGCGGTATGAAGCCACTGTAGCGCAGCATGGTTGGTTTGCACATGGAAACGCCGTCCCCAAATACATGGGTGTAGCTTTTCCAGAGTGTAGACAATGGCGTAACATTCTTTTTCACTAACTGACCAATTGCTTTCCCTCTCAGTCAGTGTCTTGCTGAGAAACCCTACAGGGTGGAATTCTTGATCTGGTCCTTCCTGCATTAAAACTGCTCCCACACCACACTCGGACGCATATGTGGTTACTAGGAACGGTTTGTCAAAGTCTGGGGCCCTTAGCACAGGGTCAGACATGAGTGTCACTTTAAGCTGGTTAAAGGCCTTCTGACACTCTTCAGTTCACTGAATGGCATTTGGCTGTTTCTTTTTGGTTAGGTCTGTCAGTGGGGCGGCGATTTGGCTGTATTGCTGTGCAAATCGCCTGTAATAACCAGCCAAGCCTCAGAAGGACTGGACCTGTTTCTTTGACTTTGGGACAGGCCACTTTTGGATAGCATCCACTTCGGCCTGTAGGGGGTTGATAGTTCCTGGACCCACCTGGTGTCCAAGGTAAGTCACTCGGTTTAAGCCTATTTGACACTTCTTAGCCTTAACAGTTAGTCCTGCCTCCCTTATGCGCTCGAAGACTTTTTGTAGATGTTCCAGGTATTCTGCCAGGAATCCGAAAATATGGCCACATTGTCAAGGTAGGCGACTGCATATTCTCCTAATCCCGCTAGGAGACCATCTACAAGTCTTTGGAAGGTGGCGGGTGCATTCCGCAGCCCGAAAGGAAGTACGTTAAATTCATACAGCCCGACATGTCTGGTAAAGGCTGACCTTTCCTTGGCGGATTCATCTAGCGGTACCTGCCAGTACCCCTTGGTTAAGTCCAAGGTAGAGGTGAACAGGGCCTGTCCCAGTTTCTCTAATAGTTCATCTGTGTGTGGCATTGGATAGTTGTCTGGGTGAGTGACAGCATTTAGCTTATGGTAGTCCACACAAAAATGTATCTCCCCATCTAGTCTGGGAACTAGAACCACTGGAGATGCCCATGCACTGCCAGAGGGGCAGATTATACCCATCTGTAACATATCCTGGATCTCCTGTTCTATAGCAGTTTTAGCTTGAGGAGACACCCGGTAAGGTTGGACTTTAATTGGTGAGCATTATCTGTGCAATGGAGTGGCATATGCAGCGAGAGCAGATCAAGGAGCTGAGCACTAGCTATGCACTAACAATCTCAGTCACCCGAGGACTGACTGAGTGAGCACTAGCTATGCACTAACAATCTCAGTCACCCGAGGACTGACTGAGATTCAGTCAGTCCTCGGGTGACTGAGATTGTTAGTGCATAGCTAGTGCTCAGCTCCTTGATCTGCTCTCGCTGCATATGCCCAAGGGTCATGGAGAGGTTCACCTCTTCCACGCCACCATCACTTGTCCCTTCGTAGTGGACACCTTCAGGCCACTAAGCGTCATCTCCTCACTGGGCTGTAAACTGACAAACCTTTAATTCTCTGGAATAAAAGGGCTTTAGAGAATTAATATGGTATACCTTAGGCTTTCGGTTGGAGGTGGGGAATGCTATGAGATAATTAGCAGCTCCCAGGTGCTCCTGAACGATGAATGGCCCTTCCCACGACACCTCCATTTTATGGGCCTGGAGCGCCTTTAAGACCATGACCTGGTCGCCTACTTTGAAGGAACGCTCTCTGGGATGTTTATCATGCCACGCTTTTT